TTTTCCTCCTAAAAAAATCACCAAAGTAATATATGTACATTGTAGAAATGTTGGAAAGTGAGGAAAAGCATAAATAAGAATTTTCAAATCACTCACAATCCCAGCACTAAAGATACCCAATTGTCAATATTTCAGTGTACTAATTTCCAGTCTTTTTAAATTCATATTTGTTAGACTTTCACAACATCCTTCCTTCAAATTCTCCTTCACTTTTATATAAGAACCTGTTGTGCATTCAAAGACTTAGTTCAATCTTCAGGCGTATAAGAAACTTCCAGGTTGCCTAGGACTTGTCCCAGGCCTGCAAACTTTTGAGCTCTGAGTACAAATTTACCTCCCAGTTATCTTTATCTAAACAAAACATGGTCTCTAGCTGAAGGTTAGGCGTCCATCAGAGATTGCTATTGTGTCTTCTGGTTATTAGTTCTGCCATCAATGTTTGTCACTATGATGATAATTATAGTTCTGGAATCCTGAGTTCAACTCTTATCTCCACTGCCACCTTCTAATTTTGTGAACTGGATAAATTACTTAACTCATCTGTGCTTCAATATTCTCATCTGTAAGATGGGAATGATGATGGAGAATAAATGAGTACGTGGAAAGTATGTAGAGCAGACTGTTACCCAGGAAGCACTCAATAGATGCTAGCTATCACTGTTATCATTTATATATTGTTGTTGTTTCCATTCCTCCATGATGTTTTCTGCGTTGTTAGTTCTACTGTCACTGTTGATTGAAGAGGTAAAGACTCCCCTTTTTAAACATGATCACAGCCCCCAAAAGTAACAATAGTTGCTTAATATAAAATATTCTGTGTTCATATTCCCTAATTGTCTTCCAAATGTCTTTTGTTGTTTGTTTGAATCTAGAGCAAAACAAGGTCTATACATTGCAATTGATTAACATGCATTCTCTTATGAGCAAACATTCTGTTTTTAGCCTTTATCCCCAAACAAAAATGCAGAATTTGTTTTTGTTTTTGTAGCAAAAAACAACCTTCTTCGAATGAAGCAGAAGTTCAAAATGCTGTCCTGGAGGAGTCAGTGAAAATGTCAAGTCATTGCCTTTACTGAGGAGATAAGCACTTGGCATATACCTTTCTCTGAATGATAAAGAAGGAAAGGAGGAAGTGTGCTTCCCGGTAAACTTTTTTATTAGCCACAGAGAACTGAATACAAACATGATGCTCGGGAAACAAAGTGCCCTCCAGTAAATAGAAATTGAGGAAATAGAAATGGATTGTAAATCTGGAAACCATTTCTCTATTTCAGTGAAAGAGAAGATTATAAATGGCCAAACCAAATAGTCTGCTTTTAAAGTTTCGCAAACGCTGGTTGGATTGATGAATCCTTCTTAGGATTTTTAATCCTAAAGCTTGAATCTAATTTAAAGTTTTTGAATTTTCAAACTTTGCTCACTCCATTCTAGTCTGTGCCTTTGGTAAAAGAAAAAAAAATCACTTGAGGTGATATAAAATTAATCAAGAGCTCCACTTTCATGTCTCATTGTAAGACTGTCTCTTACAGATTCCACCTTAAACAAAGCCCCTTTTTCATTTTAAAATGGAAAGAAACCCCAGAATACAACACACACAAAATAGTAATTACCACATAATAGAAGAAGCAGGATAAGCACACAGTAATACAGTGCAGGAGTTAAGAATGTGGGCTGCAAAGAGAGAACGCTGTCCTCTGTTTCTTTGCCTGTAAAATGAGGACAATAAATAGAAGCTGCTTCATAGAGCTGCTGCTGGGATCACCCATGAGATCATGAGAAGCACCCAGCACTGGCTAACACTCTGTAAGGGCTGGTTATTATTATGATGAGAAAGACACAGGAAGGGATCTTTTGTCACAATTGGTTTTATCAGGAGAGGAGCTTACTTCATGGTAACAGTGTGAGTCAGCTACCAGAGAAGGCAGCAACCTCCCTGCACACATCCCTGTCACACCGCCTCCAAGACACTCTACTACTATTAACAATACATTGTTAAAAGAACCAGGTGAAAGAACTATCCTACACAGGCAGTGTTAAACGGTTTCCCTCTCTGGTGTTCTAAACATTTGAAAATAGTACAAGAAATGGCTCTGTGTATAGTAAGTTCTAGGTAAGACAATACTGTGGTAAGTGAACTAAACAGAAATTAACCTGAAATTGGACTCTGATCCCCAAGGGAACCGCCAGTGCAGCCCAGTCCTTACTGGCCCTGAGGAGGAAAAACAACCTTGCTTCCATCTCCACTGTGATCTGACTAGATATGATCTAAGCTTTGAACAGTGCATTTCAGATGATGCATAATACATATTAGACAACACTAAGCAGGGAGCTTCAGGCTGGGGTGTGCACCCTAATAATGAGGAACTGACACAGGAAAATGAAGACCTAACATTTGTAAATTCAGCCTTTCACTATTCTCTCATTTCAGTCACAAAAGTTTCCTTTTCTGTTAGGTCCCTCTCAAATAATTGCAATAATATAGTAAGTTAATCAGTTAACAAAAAGGGGAGGGGGTAGTTATTCATAGTATCAAAACATTCTTCATTTTAAATGATTTGTTGCATAACTCCTTGTAAGTAGACCTTCCCTCACAGTGTGAGAATCCGCAGCCCTCCCCAAGCACCTGGCCCTCTCCATTACTCCTCTACTCCTTGAGAAAAGGAGGGAGAAAGAGATCTGCAATGAAAATTTCCTCGTTAATAACTTAATCTTATGTTTCTTTAAATGCTTTCTAGTTTTAAAGGATTTTCAGAGCCACTGTGATATCATAGTTAAGCTTTGTACAAGGTGGTATAAATCATATTATACCCACTTGAGAGGTGAGAAAAGCTACATATAGTAATTGAGTACATTGAGACCTGAACTCAAGATCTTTTCAACCAAGCCCTATGGTCTGGAGCTGGAAGCAAGTGGCCCTGTTCTCCTGCTCACTAGTTTTGTGCTGCTGCCTTTACTGCCTTTGGTGAGTTGGTTCCAGGCATCTCCTCAGTCCTCCCCAGTTAATTCTGATTCGTGCTTCGGCTCATGTAATTACTAAAATGGGAAGGACTTGAGTGAACCAACATTCAGTCAATCAGCATTTAGTGAACGCCAACTAGAAGCCAGACCTTTGAAGAGTTTTAAGCAAAGAGAAACGTAATCTTCCTTGTCACTTAAAAAGACTACAGTGAGACTATCACTTTATCAATTTGAGCCAATTATCTAAAAATTATATTTGCATATTAGCTGTACTGGGGTCCCTAGCTAGCTGTGCTCTATCCCTGTTTGTAACTCTGGAAATAAACTTCACGTGGTTTCTTTAAAAAAGCTAAGGCTTAGAAAATGTCTCTGCACAGACTTGATAAGGTTTCCAACTGTACCTTGGTAAAAATCTCATTTCTTAAATCACTTATTCAACATTAAGTCATTGTACAAACTTGCACCTGATGCAAGAAGATGAGTTAGACACAACAGTTCTTAACCTAAAGGAGGTCAGAGCCTGGAAAAAGAAGACCAATGCCCACTTTGAGCTCTCCAAGGGCCCCCAGGCTCTGAACAGTCAGCCCCCACAGTTCCCTGGGCCAGAGATGGAACCCACCTCCCCACACCCGTGGTGCAGGCACACTGGCCTTTTTCTTTCATTTCTACAAACTCTCCTCACTCCCTTCCCCTCTGGACTTTGCGTAAGTCCCAGTTCTCCCAGCCTTAAAACTGCACCAGGCTCCCCATCTACTTAGCTGCTCCTTCAACCTCAGCTCCTGCCCTGCTGCCTTCTCTGACTTGCAGAACTGGTCAAATCTCCCCATTAAACCCTCTACCACCTGAGACCTTGTCACATTTGTAGTTTTACATGTACTCGTGTGATTGACTGTCTGCTCTCAGGTGCCTACGTTCCTGGCACGGCAGGGGCTGGTTTTAGATGCCAGCGCCTGGCACTCAGTAGGCCCTCCAGGAATGAAGACTGAACTGTCAAATGGGGCTGGACCTAAGCGGCCCGGGATCTGTGGGCAGGACAGGATGGAGGGGGTGAGGGGCTCCCCTGAGCTTCCTTACCACCTTCCTTAACACTAAGACAGGCCTCCTGGCTCCCATCTTGGCGCTTGCATGAAAACGTAAAAGTTGTTTGTCCCAAGTCCCCGAGAGACTGTACGCCCCTAGAGAGCAGACATTCCACTCTATTTAGCGTTGTGCCCCCAGCACCTGGCTGTGCCTGTTAACTCAGCATGAGATACACTTAGGAGATATTAGCCATTGCCGGCATTAATGAATGCACTCTGGAGGGTGGGACAAAGTGAGAGACGTTATCCAGGGCTTCAAACAAACGCTTAAGCTTGAGTTGACTCTTGAGAGAATACAAGCGACGCTACCCCCAACGAAAGACTGAAAAACAAAAAGGAAATCTGCCTTCTCCCTTCCCCTGCAAAACAAAAACAGTAAAACCTCTTAACCAACGTCTTCACCTTTCCAGGCCTCCACTGTCTTCTGTCCCCGCACTTGACGGGCGCTCTCTGGACTTGTACACAGTCACTGCGGAGACTGCCATCGCGGCGACTCCGCCAGGCATTTTCTGACCAGGGAGCGACTTTTCTGAGGAGGTATGTGGTTAGACCCCCTCTCGCGGAGAGGCTATTTAAGACCCTCACAGGGAAAATAACAGGATTTATAAACAGGGAGGTAAGGGTCTTTGCTTCTGTCACTTCGCTGGCACTTTGGAGCCCGGTCCTCCCACGCCGAGCTGAAGCTCTAGCCCTCCGGCCACGCCGGAATCCAGCAGCCTGAAGGCCGAAGCCCCGTCCCCGCCGCCCCTCCCCCACCTCAGCGGTCTCGGCACGCAGGCGCGGAGGCGCGCGCAGGGCGGTGCGCCTGGGGGCGGGGCTGCGCGGTCTCCTTAAATACGGCGGAGGGGGCGGTGCGAAGCTGCCGCGGCGCTGCTGCCCAGTCGGCGCCAGTTACTGCCGCTGTTTCCTCGTGGCCCGATCTTCGAGCCTCGCTCTTTCTCCGGCGGCGGCTGCGGCGGTGGCGGCGGCTGCAGCAGCAGGAGAGAGCGGAGGCGAGCGGGCGGCGGACTCCATGGAGAGCGGCGGACGCCCGGGAAGAGGCGGCGCTTCCTCCCCGGCACCCGGGTTCCAGTGACCGGCGCTCGCGCCCTGCATCGCGTCGGAACGGCCGCCGGCTCCGGGACTGACCCGGCCTCGCTGCTCTTCCCCGCGCCGCCGCCTCGCCTTCTTGCTCCCCGACTCGCCCTCGCCCCCACTCCCCGACCGGGTGGCGGCGGCCAGGCCCCCGCGGCGGCGGCCGGAGCAGCAGCGGCAGCAAGAGCCCGCCTCTATGATGAAGTTCAAGCCCAACCAGACGCGGACCTATGACCGCGAGGGCTTCAAGAAGCGGGCTGCGTGCCTGTGCTTCCGGAGCGAGCAGGAGGACGAGGTGAGGGCGGTCGGCGCGCTCGGTGCCCTCCTCGGGGGCGCCGGGGCGGGGTTGGGGTGGGTGTTCGGGCTGGCCGGAGTAGGAGGGTCCTTGCCCTTGCCCTTCCCTTTCTGCATCCCCTTCCCAGCCGACCCTCCGTCTGGCCCCGGGGCTGGAAGGGATTAGCCCACTCCCTCCTTGTCTCCCGCCCTCCCTCCCTCCTTCCTTCCTTTCTCTGGGTTGATTGTGGAAACAAAGGGGCTCGCCCAGCCCTATGCTCTCCCACTGGGTCGTGGTTAGGACAGGAGGCCGAGACGCCTCCTGGCCCCCGGAAAGGTCCCGGGCAGTCTAGGTCCCGCCTAGGAGTTACCACTTTAACCTGCGAACTGAGCGTGAAGCGAGATAAAACCTTGAGTTGTAACAGAGAGGGTAGCAATGGCGTGAGTGTTGCAGCCCAAGCCCTTCTGCCTCTGTTAACATTTTCCTCCCGTTACAGCAGTTTGCGGTTTCAGATAAATGTAGGCATGATTATGGAATATCCAGTCCCCGTGCTTTAAAATAAAAACTCATTCGATCTAGTTCTGTCATTTCCACTTTCAAGTGGATCCTTTAACTTACAAGCACTTGGCATATTTATACTTGATTTTTTTAAAAAACAAGGCCTACTCTTGGAAAGTTTTCTGGCTGTAGAATGATAGGTAGTGAAAAATGTGGAGTCACACCAGAAGGGAGAAGGTGGCCTAGAGTTGGGCAAAGTTGCCATTTTCAGACAGTAATCTCTAAGCTCTGCATATTTATCAGAGCTGCTTTGCTATGTTTGGCTTGACGTCTGGAGAGAAGCAGTCTTGTTCTAAAAGGAAGCAGCAGTCAGTCTTCTATAATTCACCCGTCAGCATTGGGTTGATAGTGAGGCCATTGAGGTTTTCCTGGAGAACAGGTTTTATTTATTTGTTACATTTATTTAATTTAAAAATGGTTCACTGCTTTAAATTTCCATAAAGCAATAATAGTCGATTGGTAGCCGATGAAAATCTTTTAGCATTGCCACTTCTAAAATGGTTAGACCGGGAAAGCATTAACATTCTGAGTTCTACTTCCATAACCAATTGTGTCCAATAAAATTACAGGCTAAAGCTGGAGACAGGAATTTAATGGCTTCCTTATTGCCAGTCCCTGTAGTTAGGGTGAGTATGACATAGCGTACTCTCAGTGGCTTAGTTGTTCTTACTATGCTAACAAAGATCAAAGTGCCTCAGAATGGTGCTCTTCAAACTCTTGTCTTGCCTTTACTTTTTGAAAAGAAACCAAGCCCTTTAGTGCTGATCCGGTGCTCAGTTGGGGGTCTCTAAGTGGTTAAACTTAAATTCCAAAGGAGTTTTCAAGGGAAATTGGTGTTCTTTGAACTGGGCCTATTTAGGAGAGCCAGAAAGTAGAGAGGGAAAGGTTTTTAGCATTTACAAAGTCAACAAGCTTTAAGTGCATTCTGTTAAAAAGATTAGAAGATCCTTGAGGGAAGGACCATGTTAGGACAAAGCAAACTTTGAATATAAAATAATACAGTAGCCAGAAGTGATCGAGATAGGTCAAGAATCTTACCTGATTGGCTCCCTATTGTGTAATTATTTTCTTAGTTGGGAGCTTACTAGGTGCTGGGCACTGCCTGAAGACCTTTAAGTTTGTTACATTTAATCCTCTTAGTGCAGGTTTATAGGTGAGGAGACAGTTGCAGAGCATAAGTACTTTGCCCAAAATGACGTAATTAGGAAGTGGTAGAGTCGGAATTCAGCATCGGGTCCCTACTCCTGATGCTGGGCTCTTAGCACAGGGCTCAGCCCCTAGCGACTGGGCACACAGGATTTGCTTGAATGAGTGAGATTTTGTGAGGCTGAGCTTGGAAGACTTTGGGAAAGTAGTGTCTTTGAAGTCTTGCCATAACGTGAACTTGGAATTCAGGCTTTGTAAAAACAAAAGTTCCCAGGGGAAGATATGGGAAATGGGAGGAAATTGAAATGATCTGTATTGTGTGAATGGTAAAGCAAAGTCTGAAGAGAGCTTCAGAAGTTAACCTTAGCAAATAAATGAGTTGTTTTTGTGCTTTGAAATTGTTTCTACTGTAATAAATGCTAAATTCCTAGCCTCTGGTCGACTCAAGAGACCAGTGCCATTATAAAATGAAGTAAAGAACAAGATTTGGAGAATTTAGTAGATAAGTTCATTACATAAAACTTAGACAACCTGGAGGTTGTGAGACCAAGTGAATCGCTTTGTTAGAGAATATGCTCTTTAATGTCTGGTTTAGATCTTCAAGATCTTCATTTCTGTAGTTGTGTTTATAGAATGTAAGTTGAAATAAAATAGTAATTGCGTTTGACCCTCAAAAGCTATGCAGTGTTCTAGTCTGGCTGTCTGTACTGAAGGGGTTCTCAGTAGACCTTACTTTAGAATAGGTTATTGTAGGAAGGAAAGATGTTCTAACAGCAGGAGTCTTTATTCTTTTGGGTGTGGTTTTATGTGCTTTCCCATTGTATCTCTTTCTGCCCTGTGAGCTAAATAATAAACATTAGCATTTGTATAGGAAGAAATTAGGCAGCAGAAGCAACTTGTCTCGAGGTCACAGAAGCTGGCAGATCATTTTGAGCCCCTTTATTTCTAAATCTCATGTTCACTTGATCCTCTCTCCAGCTAGTTATTTCTGTGGGGAACCACCCTTATTTTTGACAGTTGGGCTTCCAGTCAAGGCAACAAGTGTTCCATAGAGTAGCTGGGATACTCTGCTTGTGCAGTGAAAGTGGACAATACATTCACAAAAGGTAACCCGAAATGGATTCCATTGAACATATTTGCATATATGATAGTTGGAACAGGGATGCAAAGATGAAAAGTGTCATCTCGTAAGGAACATGCTCTACAGCAGGAGGTTAGACAAATAACTGATAAAAAGGAAATAAAATAAGGTTAAAAGTACCATCAGGTACTCCAGGGTTAAGATTCAATGTGAGTCATTTGGAGTTGGATTTCAGTGAGTGGGAAAGGAAGAACCAAGCATCACAAACAGAGCAAGACTTGGGGCTGTGTCTAGTTAAGCTGCAGCTTAGGATAGAATGGAACAAATAATGGCTGAAAAACAAAAAGCACCTTAAATGTAAGGTTAAGGAGTTGCTAGGCAAGAAAGGAACTCTTACTTTTGGACAAGGAATATTTTGATTTTAGATGTATTCAAGTTTGAGAATGATCTGGCAGCAAAATAGGCTAGAATTCTAAAGAGAGAAATAGAAATGACTTGATTCTGGGTGGAATCCAGGCACAGTTGCAAGTGGGAAACATAGACAAAGAGTCTTAAGAACTTCCATTTGGACTTTTTGTTCCAATTAACTTTTTTTTTTTTTTTTTTTTTTTTTTTTTTTGGT